CACGGGCATATCCACGTCAGCACCTGCATAGCCTGGTGCTTCTTACGGCATGGGGGAAATAAATGGCAGAGCCCAAACGCCTGCATGTTAGCTGTGCTAAATTGGATTTGGAAGTACTGTAAATGTAAACTTGGAATTCACACTCCCAGCTGCGTGGGCGAGGCAACCTGAACATGAGAGTGTCCTGACGTTTGTGTTTTTAAGTTGATCCCCGGGATGTGACTTGAACACAGGTCACATCGCAAGGGATTTGGGATTGCCGGCTGCTTGGCTGACAGTGGCACCAGCCGGCTCTGTCCTGACTGACGCCCAGGGTGGGAAGACACCGAGTTGCGAGGCATCTCCTCCCTGGAGCCTCCCATGTCCCTGGTCTTCTGCGGGGGACCTGCAGGGCTGCGTGAGGTCGGGGTCGGTCACCTTCCAGGAGCGCCTGCCTCGTGTGCTGGCACTCTTGAACTAGGCTTGATTTTGAAAGAGAGATGGCTGAGCCTGGTATCAGGTGCAGCACCTGCCGTAGTACCTGGTACCCAGTGGGTGTGCTGAGCTCGGCAGCCATCTGACGAGGGGATGCATAAACGGAGCGAGCAGGGCCTCGTGTAGGAGCCAAGGCCGTGGCTCCGCATGTCGCAGCTCTGTTACGCCAACTGCCGAGTAGAAGCTCTTGCTGGTCACGTGACGTGTTCACGGGGCCAGACCTCACCCCAGCTTGTTAATTTCCACTGTGAGGGAGATGAGAAAGACATGGGGGTGTCTTTCCCAGAAATAAAATCGATTACCTTGACCTGAACTTACAATTTTGCTGTTTTTCATCATTTACAATCGTAGTGGCCTAAGACTTCTGGAGTGTGTCGGAACCTCTGTGCCCGAGCGCAGTGCGCACAGGCTGGGCGGGAAGCACAAGCTTACTGCCCTCCGAGTCGGAAAAGGTGCCCTCCCTTGTGTCCTAGTGGATACGACCGCACTGAGAGGCTCTCCCAAGGTGAGAGGCCAGCTTTTTGGTTGGCAGCGGAAGGACAGATTGACTCACGTCAGCAGCTGGTGCTCAGGACGTGGGCATTCGGCACCTGGGACAGGATGTCAGTGCAGCGCCTGTTTAAAACTGCTTTGTAAGTCAGCGTTTGAATCTCACTGGCCTACACTTTCTTTTTCTTTTCTTTTTTTTTTTTTTTTGAAGAGTAAATCTGCTCTTCTCGCAGGGCCTACTTTGTTCTCATTTCTCCTCTAGAATACTAAGGGCACACTCCTTTTTATGGGGCTACAGGTCCTGGTGAAATTTGAGGCTCCCGGAGCTGGGGTCGGAAGCTGGGGCCCCTCAAGCTTGGCTTCCCCTGTGCTTTGTTGCGTCTAGGACAGCGTTGGTGCGTTGCTAATGGGTTGGAAAAGGAGTCAGTCACTGAGGAGACTGTCTGTGCCCAGATACCATTCCGCCTCTGTGAAATTTGGGTGGCGGAACAGCTCTGAGATTTCCTATCTTGGCAGAACTCAGGAACCATCCAGAACGACTTCCGCCTCTTGGATCCCTGGGGCGAGCCTCAGTGGGAGCTGCTTCCGAGCTCCATCCTGTCTAAGCTAGTGCCTCCAGGAGGATCTAAGCTGCACCCAAAGGCTCTCTAAAGTTCAAGGGGTAGCAAAGGTAATGGGGGAGGCTCACCGATGCATAGCAAAGCCTTGTGATCCAGAAGGGGTATCCAGAGTTCTGTTACCACGTCAACATTCTGCCTTTATAAGAGGTAAAAAGTTTGGGGAGTTTTCAGTGTTTTGGTTCTAAAGTTTTGTGAATATATTGAATATATGACTCAGAATCCACTTGGCACCCGCTTTTGACATCAGCCGTGTTATTTTCACCACCATCCATCTGGCTCCTCCCGGCTCCAGAGCTCCTCGTGCCCGTGTGCCGTCTCCGAGATCTTCAGGGGACTTCAGGTCTCCGTCGTCTTTGTATCCCCAGGACTCAGGGCGTATCTGATTGTGCAGCAGGTGCTGTAGGAATCCTCATCATGAATAGACGCATTGGTTGTGTCTGAATTCCTGTACTCAGTGGAGCTCTTTGGGAATACGGACGCTCTTTATTGACAGGGTCGCGGCGGCCGTAATGCAAACCTGATTCCGTTACCTGGGTGAGGGACTGCTGCACTCACTGTAGGGCTTCCGTGCTTTCCTCCCGCTCCTCTGGCGTTACTGAATGAAGACAGGTGTGTCCTCTGAGGACCTCTCTTCCCCCGTACACTTTTGTTAGTGTTTCCAGGGTTTTCTCCTTGGTCTCACTCTGCGCATCCTTCCTGGGGCTGCCTCCCTGCCAGGTACAGTCAGATGACTCCAGATCCACATCCCCCATAGACTTTCCTGGACGGCCTGACTCCGGAGCGTCTCCCATCGGACGGCGCACGTGCGTCTCGGGCTCGGAACCGCCAAAGCTAAGCTCATGAGTTCTGCTCCAGCCCTTCCTGTTCCCTGTCCACCCCATCACCGGGGCGTAAAACCAGGTGCTCGGCCTTGACGCCTCCTTTCCATATCATCTGCTGTGAAACAGGTGGCAAAGAGGAGGCCCGGAGGGTCTGCCTGCTCAGATTGCTGTGTTCACTTCCTTTCTTTGCTCTTTATTCTGAGCTCATCTGGGTCTCTCCACCTCATGCCTGCAGTGTCGCGGTGACTTTCTGACCTGTTTTTCTCCCAAGGTCGTGCCCTTTATCGATTCCTCTGATGTAGGGCACCTTCCCTCCCTTCTCCATCGCAACCACGCTCAACACGTTTCCCGAAGGTGCTGTGCTCTTCCTGTGATTTGCCTTCGCTCAGCTGCCTTCCTCCTGCTTCTGGAATTTTCTCTCCCCGCTGGTCATCGTTAGCCTTAAAGACAAATAGATACCCCCAAGATTTAAAGTCTTTGCTCAAGTGTTTCCTTTGCTATTAAGTCTTTTAGGGTCCTTTGCAGAAGTAACTTCCTTCCTGACTGTCCCTACTGCGTGGACTTTTCTCACATCATCTGTGACACTTCACCTCCTCCAAGGCTAGAAGCTCACTTTGAGGGTAATAACTGCATCTCGTTCATCTTTGTGTCCCTAGCACCGCGCCTAGAAAACAGCCAGTGCTCAAAAAGTGAATGTCGAATGGACGAAAAGGTGTGTCTGTGCTGAATACAGTAGGAACACGGTCTGTTTTCTTTTGTGGATCCTGTAGGCTGGTCTCCCTTAAACACAGGTGCACCCAGCAGCCCAAGAAGGCGATTGGTGGTGGAGCAACAGTGGTGGATTGCTTTTGGCTCAGGGACTCATCTTGCTTCCCATGCGGTCAGCCTGCTGGTGACCGGACTGCCTTATGTGGTGTGGTGTTCGGGGCCTGGGAGAGGCGAACCCAAGTATTCCCACCTGTCACTGCTATCTGTAATTTTCCCAGGGATGTCTCATGCATCTGTCATCAGCACTGCCTTATCCAAGCTAACTTAACGCCAACAAGAAGTGTGACTTGGACTCTCTGGTCCTTTTCTGGGTAGGGTTGAGGGTTTTGGAAGAGGTAAAAGGAAGAAGAAATTAGAGCTCCAGAATTCTGTAGATCATTCAGATATTTTCTTTAGGTCTCCTCTTGTCTTAGAATCAAGTATCTGTGTAGTGGTTGGTTATATCAGCATGGATCATGGACCAGCATTCCTATCCATGGGCTTCACCAACTTTCTAGGGCTTCCATAGCTTCTAAAGGTCTCCTAGAGACCAGTGTCCTGGCCCCCATCATGCCTGATTAACATCTATCTATGCTGGGTAAGCCTAGATCAACTTGGACAGGTTCAAGATCAGTGACTTCTTCTTGTAGCTACAGAGATTAGAAACCATCTGATTGCACCTGATTGAGGGGACAGTTTACCAAATACAAGAGTTAGAATGAAAATCTGTGTTATATTATGATAGAGGCTAGTCTTTCCACCTTTCTTGAATTTGCTAATTTGAGAGCCACTGGAAAGTATTGGGCTTGGCAGGTGTGTATGGTTGGTTGTAGGCTGGGGGAAAAAAAAAAGCAGAAGTTCTACTTACCTTTGATCTTACTTCCTAACCCTTACTCTGGAAGTTAACAAAGGTTTGCTGTTCCTCATGGGACTTTCAGTTTAGGATAAAATTGTGGTCGATGTCAGAAAATGAAAAGTTAAGCTTTCAAATGAGCAAGTTGTGGGTTGTAATAAGAGTCCATGCTGTTGCATCCCTGGTTGTCCAAGATTTCCCTGGTGATTTTGCCCAAAATAGGGAAGTACCCACGATGGTCACTGCCATTTGATTCTTTGTCTAAATAAATTCTTTAAGATCAGAGGTTAGTGAAGTGTAGTTTGCCCAGCAACAGGCACTGAAGTCACTGTCTTGATCGGTCACTGGTCGCCTTTGACCGAGAGCGGCAGGAGACGTGGCTAACAAAGGTTAGCGGGAGCCAGGGTCTGTTGCAGGAGACCCTTCGGTGGCGGTGAGGTGCCATTCGGCGCTCTGGCTTTTCCTCCCTCTCTTTGTCTGAACCCTTAAACCAGTCACCATGATTCTCTGCGAAGGGCCAAACTCACTTTTATGTGTGTTTTTGTCACTTTTTATGCAGATTTCAGCAATGTCCCTGACGTCACCACTGGCCTGAAAAGGAGTCAGACCGATGGCGCGCTGGCCCAGATTCCCCACGGGGAGAGAACAGGGCAGACGTTCGGGGTAAGATGCTGTCCCAAATCCCAAAGAAGAACCCGGCTGACAAGCATGAATCCCCCCTTTCACCTGAAGTGGGGAAAGGAGATTGGGTTATCCTGTCCCTCAGTCCACCCGCTGAAACCTTTTTTTTCCCTTTAGTGGAAGTAGTTTCTTTATTCCAAGCGAAGTATGTCAGGACAGTTTGACAAGGACAGTCTATGCTCAGGTGTTCTGAAAGTTATGTTTAATGACTCTGTTGCTTTCCTCCTTTTTTTTTTTTTTTGCCCACAGATAAATTATTTTTGGAAGGTTGTCACTTTGTTGTGGTCTAAAACATGAAATTTGGTATTTTCACCATTTTTCAGTGCACACTGCAGAGGTGTTAAGTACATTCACAGTGTAGTACAACCACCACCACTACCCATGTCGGGACTTTCTCATCATGCCAAGCAGAAACTCTGTACCCGTTAGACTGTAACTCCCCATTCACAACTCCTCCACCCACCGCGACCCTGGCTCGCCTGTCTTTTACTTCCTGCGCCCTTTTGCCTGTTCGAGGTCCCTCATGTGTGAGCATACCAGTATTTGTCTTTTTGTTTCTGGCTTATTTCACATGGCATCATGTTTTCAGAGTTCATCATGTTGAGGCGTGTGTCAGAGTTCCCCTTCTTTTGGAGGCTACGGATACTATTCCGTTGTGCATGCTGCGTTTTGTTTACCCATTCATCTGTTGACGGGCGTTTGGCTTGTTTCCACCATTCGCCTGTCGTGAGTAATGCTGCAGGGGAGACTGGCATACAAATATCTGTTTGCATCCTTGTTTTCAGTTCTGTTGGACACACATCTAGGAGTGGAACTGCTCACGTGGCCCCTCTATGTGGAGCTTTTCCCGTGTGTCCCACAGGGCTGTGCCACCCATCGGTGGTGGCTGAGGGTTCTGATTTTTCCGTGTCCTCGCCAATACTTGCGATAGTCCATGCCTTCCCTACATTCTTAATTGTTAATTGAACATCCTTTCAGAAATGGTCTGATCTACCTGATCTGTTTTAATACTCAGTCTAGTTTTAGTTGATTTTGACATTAAAATTCTGTTTTTCAATTCCTTGCTTTTATTTTAAATATAAGAATGGAGATATATAAGCTCTGACAAGTATTTAAGGACAACTTAATGGGAGCGCCTGGGTGGCTCAGTTGGTTGAGCATCTGCCTTCGGGTCATGATCTCAGAGTCCTGGGATCGAGTCCCTCGGGGGGCTCCCTCCTCAGTGGGGAGCCTGCTTTTTCCTCTCCCTCTGCAGCTCCCCCTGCTTGTGCTCTCTCTGCCAAGTACAGTACAGTCTGCTGGGTTAGACTGATACCACCAGGGGCTTGTCCCTGTGGGGGGGCAGCCATGTGGCACACCCGGGGCTGATGGTCGCTGTGAGAAGGGGATTAGGTTGGCGCCTGCCCACTGCGGAGCGGGTTCTGGTGGCCCCTGACCGCCCTCCTCCTCTCCCTCACCCCTCCCTGCATTGCTGCCCTATTCCTGATCCACCTCCTCCAAAATCGCTCTTCTCTTCTTTCCGATTCCTCAGACGAAACACTCGGTCTGGCTGTGCCCCCAGGACGCAGTGTCTTTTAATAAACTGAAATTGTCCACATTTTTAGTCTGATGCCTGTGTTCGATCTCTGCTGGATTAGTTGCTTTTGGGAACCTGACATCATAGTTAATAGTGATTATTTTTAAGAAATGCATCCTAGAGCATCAACTGGATGTGTCTTGATTGCTTTGTCTTAAAGTTTTGTAAAAAAGTAAATATTTCTGACACACTTTAGAAGCTCAGCTGTCTATTTAAGGTAAGCATGCCCGAGGAGCACCGGCTCAGTGCAGCAGCCTAATGCCGCTAAGGATGATGATGTCCTCCCTGTTGTAATCTGTTTGAGTTCCACATTAAAGTTCTTAAGAAGGAAAGGAAGTTCTTTTTCCAGATTTTATTTTAATATTCGGTAAAATAAATAGGCAAGAAGTTACTGTGTTAAGGCTGTCCCCAACTCCGTCATTTAACAATGCCTGTCATAATGAAACAAAGCATTTACCAGATGAACATTGGACAGCACTTAGAAATTGAGGAAAGGAGGAAAAGCTGCAGTTGAGCTTGAAATTGGAGCTGATTGAACTTAGTTTTCATTGCTAAAATGGTTAGAGCAGAAAGCAAATAACTACCAAAGGGGGGCTCTTGGGTGGTGCAGTCGGTTAAGTGTCCGACTCTTGATTTCGGCTCAGGTCATGGTCTCAGCGTGGTGAGCGTGAGCCCTGCATTGGGCTCTGTGCTGGGTGTGGAGTCTGCTTGGGATTCTCTCTCTCCCTTTCCCCCTCTCCGTGCTTGTGTGCACTTGCTCTCTCTCAAATAAATAAATCTTTAAAAAAAGATAAATACTGAAGAACGCAGAAGACAAAAATATTGAAAGAGAATATCATCGTGGTGAGCATTGCTGTCAGTCCCTCTCAAGTCAGAGTCGTCATCATCAGACCTTTTTCAAACCTGAAGATCATCTGTCCATAATAACGGACTTCAGGGCATTTCTCAACAATCCTAGTGTAATGCCTGGCAGTTACTTTAGTTCACATGTTCTTTGTTCCTTGGGAAAGAATCAGTGACCATCAGAAGTAATAATTGGGATGTGTGTTAGTGAAAAAGTTTTGAATTTAAGAATTAAAAGACAGGGGCGCCTGTCCATCAGTTAAGCATCCAACTCTTGATTTCGGCTCAGGTTGTGATCTCAGGGTTGCTTGATTGAGCCCCACATCGGGCTTTGCACTGGGCGTGGAGTCTGCTTGAGATTCTCTCTCTCTCTCTCTCTCTCTCCCCCCCCCCGCCATGCTTGCTCACTCTTTCACTCTAAAAAAAAAAAAAGACATTTTCTTCTGTATTATTATTTTCAGCCCCCTGGAAACATCAGGTTATACCTAAAAGCAGTCTTTTTCTGTTTTCCAGTGGTGGTTTGGGAATTGGACGATGCGTGTCCACGTGCTGGGCATGGATCTCTTTGGCTCGCCCTGGCGCTGCCCCACAGCGCCCATGGGAGGTGGTCACTGCTCCGGAGAGAAGACCGGCCCCTCTCTCCTGCGCTTCCCACTCGGGCCCCTCTCGCCTTCTTAGGGGTCATTAACTTCTTTTCAGATTAGACCCTGGTTGAGCCTGAGTTGTTTGGGATATTTTACTAATAATATTCTAGACTTTGAAATAAGGAATAATTTCCCTTGAAAATCAAATGCAGCACAGCTGTAAGTGGGGCTTTTGACAGCCCCGCAATTTCTGCAAATGGCTCATAATTGATTGCCTTCTTGCCCTTCAAGGGTGCCTATTACTATCACAGCTCTTTGTATGCCCCTGGCAACCTCTTCTGTGTGCGGGCTCTTTTTTCCCCCCAGTATTGTTAGCAATTAGCTGGCACTGTTGTAACAGTTTGGATTTGGAAAGGAATAAACAGTTTCTTTTTGGGGGAGGGGGTTGAAAAGACTTTCTGGGTTGTTCCGGGAACTTGAGGCGGGCTAAGCAGGCTCTGCAGAAATACAGTTTGCGTTCCACGTTCCAGTCTCCGAGCTGACTCTGAAGATGTGGCACTTTGTGGCTCTGTCGTCCCCCAGTGTGCCCTGACCCGGTGTCTCCCCAGAGCCGGCAGGCTTGGCATGGGGTGGAAATTCAGAGGAAGGGGGTGCGCTTCCCCAACCAGCGGCGCTGCCTTGGAGGAAGAGCTTGGTGGCGCTAGGACGTCCTTGCGAATGTGACTTGGCACAACAGTTGGGGACTTTTTCATTGCCTGGGGATGAGAGTGAGGAACGTGCGTCTTACTCATTTCCCAACAGCCGACCGTAGATGTAATCCTTCCTCCCAGAGGGAGCAGGTGCCTTTGAACTTTTCCTTTCTATGTACAGCATGTAAGTAAGCAAGGGCTTTGATCTCAGGGGTGTGGATTCTGATCCAAATGTAGGCATGCTTGCATGGTTTCCTTTCTCTCTGTCTGGAAAGTTGATTTTACTCTGAAATGTCTGTAGATTGTTGTGCAGACGGGAAGAGATGCCTTTCTTTCCAGAAGGGAATCCTGACTGTAATCTTTAAACGCTCTTTGCAGCTAAGGATGCGAGCATTTCTTTTGGATTCTGGTTTCTCGGGGGCACTGTCGACTTTTCCTTTCTCCTTCCTTCCTTGCGAGGGTCTTTCAGTGGATCTCTGAAATAGTTTTGTCCTTTTGAAATATATCAGAAAGCCCAGAAATTTCAAATTTTTACTCTGTAAAATCCCCTTGAAAAGAGGAGTCATTTGAAGACAATACATAATTTGCTGCTTTGTGAAATTTCTCGGGAGCATAGCCCATGCCAGTTATTGAGCTTCATGCTGTAAAAGAAAATCCACAAAAGTGAAACCGTTTTCTACGAGGTAAGCAGAGTTTTTACCTTAGTTATTCCTGATTAAATGTTTTTTTTTTTCTTCCCAGCTTTTTTAGAAGAAATTTTATGTAATCACCTAGTGTAGCTTTGGCAGTGATTATTTTTACAGTTTGTAGGCGTTGTGTTGCTAGAACAGAGAGCATTGGGAATCTGGAGATACACAGCATGAGGACTGTGTGTTGTGCTCTTTGCAATTTAATAATGCTTAAGATCTATTTTGCCCTTTCATTTGTGCAAGGTGGAAAAAAGGGACATGCACTAATGGTCAGGTGTTAGAACCCAGCATGAACATAACTTGCATTTAATATTTAATGCCTGCTCACGCACTTCTCTTAACCTTCTGAGTTTTTTTACATGAATTCCTTTTAAGAGCTTGCATTATCTAAGAAGCGAAAGGAAAAGATTATTGGACATGTGGTTTGTTTTCCAGCAGGCTCACGTTGTACATCTTTCTACTTTATCTTTGAGTCTCCTGCATTATTTCGAGATCTGTTTGGTCGTAAGATGTTTTGTCTAAAAAGTGAAATTAAAATACAGTTTCTTTATGAATCCTGGTCTTTCTACATGGCTGCTATTCAGTAGATTAATATGATCAT